ATCTACAACTCCTGACTGTGGAAGCGGCGGCCAGTATGTCTCTCAACCCGCGCAGCTTCTAGCAGCTCCCATTGGCCTGGAGCAGCGAACTGCGGCCACTGGGAGCCGCGATCAGCCGAACCTGCGGAAGCGGCAAGTAAACAAACCGGCCCGGCCTGCCAGGGGCTTTCCCTGTACAAGCGGCGGAACAAGTTTGGGAACCACTGCTTTACAGTCTACCTCATCATTGATATACAATGCTACTCCACCACCTTTGCCTTTATTTCTGTGTTTCCTAAACAGCACATACCCGTCAATACCTGTACTCTAGTCACAACAAGGGTGCATTCAGTACAGCTCAGGATACCTTGAACAGACTAGAGCCTGGATATAAAACACTTTGGCAATCTCATGTCAGAAGTCTACATAAGTGCACCAATCACCTGTAGCATGGAGCCATGACAACAATTCTGTGTAAGACATCATTATGAAAGAGTTGTTGGTAAATTTCAAGAGTGAAAATATCTTTGCTTTAGACAAACTCTCATAAAAGGTCTGATAACTGAATTTTGTAGATTGTTTTACCATGGTGATGAGAGCTTTAGAAATGTTTGTAATATATCTATTCCAGGCAAGTAAAAAAGCACAAAAATAAACATTTCAAATGTTGTTAAATTGTCATTTATTTTATTTTAATTACAAAAGGCACTCCATGGTCTACACTAACATCTCACTGCATTTTTTTTTAAATAGAGCCATTATGGATTAATGAATGCAAAAAAGGAGCAAAAAAAAAAAAGAGGGTTACTCACCTTATGCAGTAACTGAAGTTCTTTGAGATGTGTGTCCCTGTGGGTGCTCCACTTCAACAGCACCAGGACACATCAACACCTGATCAGAAATTTTTGGTGGTAGTGCCTGGGCGGGGCATGCATGCACAGTAGCTATCTTGCAGTGTCGGTGGCACCTCACCTATCACGCGCACAACCCAAGCCCTTCAGTTCTTTCTCTATCATAGAGTCTTTAACGTGAACTCCAAAGTAGAGGGGAGGAGGGTGGGTAGTGGAGCACCTACAGGGACATACATCTCGAAGAACCTCAGTTACTATTGTGGTAAACCCCGGACAAACAGCTACAAAAGGGGGGTAGTAATTAGTCCCAGGGATTAAAAGGCCCCTCCCTATCCACTGAGGAGAGAGAGCCACGGGACAATAAGGTTCAGCTGGAAAAAGGGTTGCTAGGGAACCAATAAGGTTCAGCTGACTCCAACTACTTGGGACCTTTTTAAACCCTCCCCTGGGTGGCAGGAGGAAAAGAGTGAGGGAGTGAGAGGAGCAGGGAAGTTGCCAGTAGCCTGTTTGCAGCAAGACACCAGACTTTCCCAGTAGAGAGGCTGCACTTGCTCCCCAGAAGGGAAGGAAAACAAGCACAAGGGACTGACTGAGGAGAGGAGTAGCAGGACCCTGTGCCACCTATAAGGATTCGCCTTGCCCCAAACCTGAGTCTCCAAGGCTAAAAAGGACTGAGCCTATTGAGGCGAACAAGGTATTTTGACACACTGTACAAGATGTACCCTCTCATCTTTGAGTGCTGTCCCTGTGGGTGCTCCACTTCAGATGATTGGAGCAGTGCCCTACTGAGGATGGATGGGTGGCCTTCAGAGTTGTATGCATAGTTGAAGCTGGCACTGTTAGGCCTAGTATTGCATCTGAGTCTAAGCTTTGCGTTATTGTATAGTGATTCGTGAATGTGTGTTGTGAAGCCCAAGTGGCGGCTCAAAATATTTCTGTGATTGGCACGTTATTCAAAAAGGCTGTTGAGGTCAATACTGATCTCGTCAAATGGCCTCTGATACCTGTCGGGGGTTCAATTTTTTGTTGATAGCATAGATGGATGCAACTGGAGATCCATTTTGAAAGTCTTTGTTTTGATATTGTGGATTCCTTTGATCATCCAGTCATGGAGATGAAAAGTCTCGGTGATTTTCAGAATGGTTTTGTTCTGTCTAGGTAGAATGCTAAAGCACATCTAACGTCTAGAGTGTGGAGGATTGTCTCTTGTGTAGTCTCATGTGGTTTAGGGTAAAACATAGGTAAATGACTTGGTTGGTTGAAATGAAAGGATGATATCTTAGGGACAAATTTGGGGTGTGGTCATAGCGTCACTATCTTTGAAGAATATGGTGTGTGGAGGGTGGGCCACAAGAGGCCCTATTTCACTTACTCTTCGCACTGATGTAATTATGATCAGGAATGCTACCTTCATTGACAGGTGTAGTAGAGAACAAGTAGCAAGTGGTTCAACTGGTGCTTTGGTAAGGCCTCTGAGGACCAGATTTAGATCCCATGCCGATGTGGGGTTGCCTATTTCTGGGGACATGTGAGGAAACGCTTTGTGATCAGGTGTGTGAATACTGAGACACCGGCAATCTTATGATGGAAAGCAATTATGGCTGCGAGGTGTACTTTAACTGAACTTGTGGACCGTCTTGATTTTTTTAATTCTACTATGTACTCAAAGATCAAATGAATTGGTGCCTTAAGAGTGGCTATGTGTTTGTTTTGGCATCACATGGAGAACCTCTTCCATTTCTGGAGGTAAATGGTATGAGTGGATGTCTTTCTGCTGTTTAGTAATACCTGTTTAACCTGTTTGGAGCAGGTTAATTTGTCATGGAGGACACACACCTTCAAGTGAAGTTTCTCCAGGTACAGATGGAGGCTTGACCTTCATCTTGTGAGAAGATCCCATCACAGAGGGAGAGTGTATGGTGTGCAGATCGCCATGAGTCTCAGGTATGGGAATCATGTCTGTCTGGGCCACGTCACGGACTATAAGTATGACCTTGGCTTTGTCAGTTTGTATCTTGCGTATTACTCTGGAGATTAAAGGTATCAGTGGGGATGCATACAGAAAAGGTGTGTTCCATCTGATGGGAAAGGCATCCCCTAGGGATCGTGTTCCCAGTCCTGCTTGTGAGAAAAACCTTGGACATGTGTTGTTTCGTTCTGTCGCGAATAGGTCAAAGTGTGGGAACCCCCACATGTGGAATATGTGTTGTGTGATGTTGTCGTTCAGTTCCCACTCGTGTTGTTGGGAAACCTGTCTGCTTTATGTGTCCACTGTCATGTTCTGTCGACCTGGGAGGTATGATGCTGTAATGGTGATGTGCTTTATGCACCAGTTCCATAGTTTATGGGCTTCTGTGCATAGGGAGTGAGATCATGCTCCCTCCGTCAGTTTATGTAGAACATATATGCCATGTTGTCCATCATGATTGTTATGATTTTGTTCCTTATTATTGGGAGGAAATGGATACACACATTGCAAACCGCACATAATTCGAGCAGGTTGATGTGTAAATGTGTCTCTCTGCGGGTGACCACTTCCCTCAGATTGTATGTTAGTTCAGGGGAGCACCCCAGCCAATCAGTGAGGCATCTGTTGTGATCAGTATGGATGGTGGATCCTGCTGAAATGGGATCCCTGCACATAAGTTTCTTGGACTTGTCCACCATTTTAAGAAGTGTTGGACTTTTGGTATTAGTGTTAGGCTTTTGTTCAGGCTGTGCTTTCATGGTATGTAATACCGAGCTCAGCCATCCCTGTAGGCAGCACATGTGTAGTCAAGCGTGTTTTACTACGAAGATAGCAGCCGCCATATGTCCCAATAGTTGTAGGCAGGTACATGCTGATACCCGTAGGCTATTTGTGACCACTGATATGAGAGTGGTCAGTGCTGAGAATCTGGTCATTGGTAGTGATGCTTTGGCCTCTATTGAGTCCAGATGCGCTCCGATGAAGTCCAATTGCTGTACTGGGGTTAGAGCAGATTTCTGTTTGTTTATTTGTAACCCTAGGGTGTGAAAGAGGGTGATAGTTCAGGGATTTGTGAGCCAAGGATGCATGTCCCTGGTAAGCTATTCTCTTGATCTTGTGGGACATTGGTGGTCTGGTACCTGATGGTGAGGAGTGATCTGACGAGAAGACTGCCTCTTCAAGGTCATCCTTATTTTCGCTTGAAAATGGTGGAGTAGTGGGGGATTCCAGCTGTTCCAGTGCTGTTGGGACTGGCGAGCCATCGGTGCCAAACGGCAGAGATCTGGGGGTAGATGCTACTTCCATGTCTACTTTATGTGTAAGAGGACACGGTGCCACTGTTTTCAATACAGTGTCTTTCTGTGCTGACACATTAGGTGGTAGCTTGGTCGGTGCTGATCGTTTGTGTGTGGCCTTAGTCAGTGGTGCCATCCTTGAATTCTCTGTTAACGGTTCCGATGAAGTCGGTGCGGGCAGAGGGGGCATCACTAATGGTGAAGGCTGTGGCACTGTATCCTTCATAGGAGTAGTTGATGCCGTGGAGGAGGAGGCTGGTTTGTGCCTACCACTCAACTCCTTTCCCCTGCCGGCAGAACTCCCAGTACAGAGGGTGCCGGAGGTGCCAAGTGCCTCAAAGGTACTCACCCTGCCTGAGGTTAGCACCAAGGAGAGAGATCTCACCAGAGACAGTTTCTTTTTTAATGGTTCTCTGTTTGGGGAGGAAGTGGCCATTTTCTCAATTTTGTGGAGGAAAGGTTACTAGCTCTGCCCACAGAGGATGTGCCTTGAGGGTCCCTTGACAAGTGTTATCTGGGGTCTGAAGTAGGCATAAGGAATTTCTCCATTACAATGAGTTTAAGTCGGAGATCCCTGTCTCTCCTCACTCAAGTTCTGAGATTGCTGCCATGAGCAAACTTTTGTGATATGTGACTCACCTAAGCGGTGAATGCATAGCAAGTGCCCATCCGAAATAGGTATTGAGTCCTTGCATGAAGTGCATCTCTTAAAACCTGAGGAGCCAGGCATATTTTTAACGTCCTTTGTAGAGCTAACTTGGGACTGGCAGAATGGAGGACTTTTGTTTTTGTTGAGGAATAAACTGTCTAACTAAGATTAACTGAAACTTAACACCAAGTGAACCAACTAATTACGACAAACTGAGGCTTAACTAAACAATCTAATGTTATCTACTTCTTTTCTAGGTTTTCTTCAACACCACTACAGAGCTCTGTCTCAGGCTGAGGATGGTTGAGAAGGAACTGAAGGGGTTGGGTCGTGTGCGTGCTACATGAGGCACCAATGGTGCTGCGAGACAGCTATTGGGCACGCACGCACAGACCAGGCACTGCTACGGAAGATCTCCGATCAACAGCACCGGGACATACCGACACCTGAAGTGGAGCACCCACAGGGACAGCACTCAAAGAAGAAACATATCTCTTAAAGAATATGTCTACACTGAAATTGTGGGGTGTAATTGTTGGTATAGACATACCTAAACTAAGTTTTAATCTAGCTATTTTGTGTACCAGAGCAGAGAAACTGTGGCTAGATTAAAGCTAGAGGAGGTATGTCTACTGAAGATGCAGTCATACCCCATGATTACAGCATAGAAATACCCAAAGTGGCCAAATTATTTTAATTTCTTCTTTTTTGAAAAGATAGCTCTTGGTCTGAGAAGCTGTTTGCTGTCAGCCTAGACAGGATTTAAAGCTAAAACTTCAAAAATTATCAAAACACTAATTTATAATGGAAACAGTAAGAGGCCACTACCTAGAATGGCACATATATTCCTGAAACAATCAAACTATTTAAATGAGTCGGGCAAGCAGAATTTGGCCCCTAATTTGGAGTTTAGATGGCGTATCAAAGAAACAAGGGAAAATCTGAGAAAACACACACACTTGCAGAAAAAGGAGTTTGTCACTAGGTGGAGCTGTGTATCATTGTAATGGTTGCCCTAAAGACAATTCTCAGTGTAAAGCTAAATTCCCCTGTAAATGGTATTTAAAACACATCACTGTTCAAAGATGTTTCTTCTCCATTAAAAGCATATCACCGCTTTGATCTATAAAGGAACTGTTGTCAATGTCTGTCATAAATATAAAGGGAAGGGTAAACACCTTTTAAAATCCCTCCTGGCTGGAGGAAAAATCCTTTCACCTGTAAAGCGTTAAGAAGCTAGGATAACCTTGCTGGCACCTGACCAAAATGACCAATGAGGAGACAAGATACTTTCAAAAGCTGGGAGGAGGGAGAAAAACAAAGGGTCTGCGTCTGTCTGGTGATGCTTTTGCCGGGGACAGAACAGGAATGAAGTCTTAGAAATTAGTAGGTACTCTAGCTAGATATGCATTAGATTATGATTTCTTTAAATGGCTGAGAAAATAAGCTGTGCTGAATAGAATGGATATTCCTCTCTGTGTGTCTTTTTGTAACTTAAGGTTTTGCCTAGAGGGATTCTCTATGTTTTGAATCTAATTACCCTGTAAGGTATTTACCATCCAGATTTTACAGAGGTGATTCTTTTTTACTTTTTACTTCTATTAAAATCCTTCTTTTCAGAAACTGAATGCTTTTTCATTGTTCTTAAGATCCAAGGGTTTGGGTCTGTGGTCACCTATGCAAATTGGTGAGGATTTTTACCAAACCTTCCCCAGGAAGTGGGGTGCAAGGGTTGGGAGGATTTTAGGGGGAAAGACGTTTCCAAACAACGCTTTCCTAATAAAAATAAACCTGGATAAATGTTTGGTGGTGGCAGTGGAAGTCCAAGGGCAAAGGGTAAAATAGTTTGTACCTTGGGGAAGTTTTAACCTAAGCTGGTAAAAGTAAGCTTAGGAGGTTTTCATGCAGGTCCCCACATCTGTACCCTAGAGTTCAGAGTGGGGAAGGAACCTTGACAGTGTCATTTACTGTTTCACTTCCTTAGAATTCACTGTGATGTTGCCTATGCAGAAAATAAATAATTAATAAAACTTAGATATCAAGAGATCTCAAAAACACTTTACAAAGGAGCTCAGTATCATTATCCCCATTTTACAGCTAGTGAAACTGAGGCACAGAGAGGGAAGTTAGTTGCCCAAGGTCACCCAGCAAAGCAGTATCAGATATTGAACCCAGGTCTCCAGAATCCCAGTCCACTGCCCTATCCACTAGGTCATGCTGCCTCCCCAGTATAGCTAATCAATGCTATTCTCAAGTAATCCAGTTAAATGAATTAAATAATGCCATTTTATATCAACAAATCAAATTACATGATGATCAAAATGCCTGAGCCCTGTCTCAGTATAGTTTCCACCATTGCTACCACCACCTGTGGTGAACCAGTGTTGAATCAGGAGTCCCATTTTTGCCAGTGTAGATGCAGCCTTGCAAACAGAACCACGACTCTATTGGGAGATTATCATAAATTAACTAGATCCCCAGAGTTGTCAGTTAATCTGCTTTTGGAGGGCAGCACTCATAATTACTGGTCACCAGCCCACCCTTCAAAACACTCTTCAACTGTATATGGAGGATCTGTTCTGGTCCTGGGTCAGTAGACAGGAGATTTAGAGAGAGGGGAGCAACTGGGCAAGAGAGAGAAAAAGATGAGACAAATATCCACTAAAAGTGAAAATAGGGAAGAAAGATGTTAAAAAAAAGATTTTTGGGGGGGATGGGGAGATCACATGAAGCAAATTAGTCTAAGGGAAAATACAGACACTAAAGAAAGAAGACTGAATAGATGCACAGAAAGGAAAAGTGAAAGAAGAAAAAAAAGGAGATATTAAGTTATTTATAATTTTTATAGAAAAATATGCTTTAGACATCATTTAACATTGGTGGTTTAGCTGGTTCTAGCAACACCACAAAATATTAATTATTTTCTATCTTTGGAAAGGAAGGGAACAAATAGCTTCTCTCTAGTTCTGACCTCTTTTGGATGGTACAGATTACCCTCATTTTCTTTCTGAAAAGAAAAGCAGGCATATTCTAGGCTGTGATTATCAAGTCCACTCAAAGGGGTAGAGTATATTCCTTCAATGGAATAACCACTGAGTTTACAGCAGTGCTTGAAAACTATCAGCTCTATTCTAAGAGGAGTATCCCTCATGCAAAATAGGAAAATAACTTTTGATACCTCTTTCTGACATTACTAGGAATCAGCTATTTCCACTTCTGAAGTCATCACAGCCACTACCCTTCCAAACATTTATCCTGCTCCCAAAACTTCCAATCCCAGCAGGACTGGTTCTGAGGAAGGATGCTGCACAGAGAACTCACTCTGAAGAGGTTAGCATTTTCAGGACTTTATACACTTCATCTTTCTAGGTGTTTTATTTCCCCTCTAAGAATAATTTGTGCAACAGCACAAGTGAAAACAAGACCACCTTACACTGAAGAGTTTTGAAAACATTAAAGAGACTACATTTCCCAGCAAACGGCAGCGTTTGTTCATTGGGGTTTTTGTTTTTCTTACCATCTGCCACACTGATGAAGAAGGACAACCCCTCCTGGGGTCCCACTTTCAGAGGCACTCCGATTCCAGCTTTTCTCCAGTTAAACATATCCAGGGCTTTCTCATCACCACTCACCGCTGCTTTGGCTAGCTGTACCAGGTCCCTGCAGGCAACCAAAAGGCATTTCATTTCCAGCTCCCTACTTGGCACAGGACTTTTTAATCCAGAAAAAATGGATGGGGATTCTCACTAACAAAATATGGCAACTATTCATGATGGAGAAATCTTTCACGCTCAGCTCAGCAGAGATATTGGAATCCTCAAATGTATTCAATATGATTTAATCTCTATCATGACTTAATATTGTTTCTTGCTTATAGAAGGATATTCAGGGGGTTCCCAGTATACATCTCCCCCTTATCCGTTGTTTCGCATAAGGTCGCTCATCAATAGGGGAAGTGTTCCGATTCACATCGGTCCCACATATCAGTTATTTGCAGTACTGTGCTGTAAGTTGCAAACAACGGCTATGCAGATCAGGAGCAATGTGAATAGGAACATGTTCCCCTATTGAAGAGCGACATATATGCAACAGCTCTGCATAGCCATGGGTGGGCCGTGGCCCACCCACTTAACATCCAGGCCCACTGCCTCAATCCTGGCTCTACTTCCACCCCAGTGCTTGCCCCACACCGCCCACCTGGTGCTCCAGCCGGGGAGCAGGGATGGAGCACGGGGGCTTGCCCAGTTCCAGAGCTCCAGTCGTGGAGCAGGGTCGGGGGCTTGCCCCACTCCGCTCAACTGGCCCTCCTGACGGGGAGTGGGGTCGGAGCACAGGGGCTTCCAAGCCCCCGACCCCCGCTCCCTGGTCAGAGCGGGGCAAGCCCCAGTGCCCCAACCCCACTCCCTGGCAGGAGTGCCATTTTTCGGGAGCCCCTGGCCAGAGCATCAATTCCCCCCAACCCTGCAAGGCCGGCTGGAGACAGGGGAGAGGCGGCCAGATTGCTCCTACCCCTCCGTTCTCCTGTCATTGCACACCCACCCAAGTATCCCATCCTGTCTACGCCAATGCTGTACCAGCGGGTCCCCAATATAAGTCATTTTGGTATCCAAGAACACAAACCCAACGTATACCGGGGACCCACTGTACATTTAAAATCATTGTATTTAGTATAAATCACATCTGTTAACATGATCACAGTCGTGCTGCCAGTCCTCTGAAATATCAACATTATTGCTTGCTGGAGATATGAGAGCCAGCAGCAATGGGGAAGAGAGGAAGGGGACCTGGATCTGTGCAGAGGAAAGGGAGTCAGCAGCAGGAGTTTGGAGAAGGACCTGGAACCAAAGGAAAGGCACAGAAATAGCAATGGGAAAAAGAGCTTAGAAGAGTGCCGGTGGGGGGGGAGGGGAGGGAGGAGAGAGATGATAGTTGGAAGGAAAGAAGAGGAGCAAAGCCTGGAACCATACATGTATAAGGGACCTGGCAGGGGAATGGGTTCAAGAGGCTATCTGAATAGGAGGAAGATCTGGGACTGGAGGGTGAGGAAGAAGTCAGCAGGGAAGGGTGCTGGAAACAAGCCAGAAGGTGTGTGCTATGGGATGGCAGTCGGGGAGAGAAACTAGGGACTAGGCAGAAGGGTGGTCTGAGAGCTTCTCTCTAGGCTAGGAGAGAGAAGGATCTGGTTGTAGGAGAGAGAGTAAGGGACACTCATAGTGGGGTGATATAGGAGGCAGCAGGTAATTGTGCTTTGCATCTAAGGCAGATAAGCACTACCAATGGCTGGAGCAGTGAGGCGGAGCCACTACAAGGTGTGTGTGTTTGGATTTCCATGGGATCTCTGAATGCATCCAATGAAGTGAGCTGTAGCTCACGAAAGCTTATGCTCAAATAAATTTGTTAGTCTCTAAGGTGCCACAAGTACTCCTTTTCTTTTTGCGAATACAGACTAACACGGCTGCTACTCTGAAACATGGGATCTCTGTGCAACAAACCTAATAATAAGAAATCCCCAACCCTAAAGAGAGAGAATGTCTAGCAGAGTTCCGACTGGGGCATTTTCACTTACTCGCCAGGAGGTGAAGGCCAAAAGATACAGTGAGAAAGATACTTTCCATACTCATGTTTCAATAAAGGGAGGCCCTGCACTCGACCCCGCTGGTCCACTCTCCATAGAACCATGACTCCAAGCTGGAAGAATTACAAAAGAGATAGACCTTCTTTGCAAACAGATAATAATAGGAGACAAACTACTCAATGGACATTAAATAATCACTTCAGACAATATGCTTTTACTGATAACATGGTATTTTTCTCTTATTTAGTACCTTTCATCTTTTTTTTTAATATGTAGGTAAGATTACCTCCCTTTCACAGGTGGCTAAAACTTCAAGTGACTTTTTAAATAATGGCATTTCATTATTTATTTAAAATGAAGCTGTCTGGAAAAGTGCCTTAATTACTTCCATTCTTAATTAAAAGGACATTGCTAAGGCTGGTAGGCCTAAAATTGGACCAACCTTGTTTTGTTCTGCACATGTGCACCATGACACATGCACTTGCACGTACTCATCATACCCCATACCCCATTTTTCTTCCTTGTGAGCAGTCAGGTTACTAAAACTAACAAGAATCCAGCTCTAGAACTCTTGTTAGTTTCAATCCACTGCCTATTTTCAAGGTCAAGCAGGCAAACAAAGCAAAAGCACTCATGATCAGAGAAACACGGAGTCATTATTTGTGGATTTCCCAGCACAGAAGAGAGAATTTTAGAACTGTTGCAATGCTTTAAAAAAAATCATCAGGGTGAGGGTGTAGTGAGGACTGATTCATTTTTAGGATCAGAAGGACATTTTAAAATGACAGTCTTAGAAGTTGAGAGAACCATCAGAGAAGTTAAAAAAGAAAAACACTCATTGGATCATTAGTTACGTAGTCCACGTCACAGGAGTCAACGCAAAATTGTTCCTCAGAGCCCATTTTCTAGCATTTCATCCAGCCTAGTTTTAAGTGTCTCAACCAAAGGGCCTTCATTATTTCTCTTGAGAGACTGTTCCACAGTTTAACAGAGCTC